TACCAACTGACTGCAGCCTATTTAGTCTCATCAGGACTCCCTGCATCCTCTTCCTCTGTGGCCTGGCAAGGCTGCACTGCCAGGAGAAAGTGATCAAAGAGCAGGCAACAGAGTCAATATCAGAAACAGCCCCTGCTCCTCTTATTAGGGTAACAACATGGGGACTGAGGTGCCTATCAGCTACATCTGAGCAGAGGGTCTTAGTCCTCTCCATGCATGCACCCCTGGGCCCAGATTTGTTGGCTCTGTTGGTCTCCTTGTGGAGCTCCTGTCCCCTCCAGGTCCTTCAGTTCCCTACTATTCCATAAGACTCCCTGCGCTATGCCCAAAGTTTAGCTGTGAGTCTCAGCATCTGCTTCGATCCCCTGCTGGGTGGAGTCTTTTAGAGGACATCTATGGTAGGTTTCTCTCCTGTACGTTATCATTCATATTCATCAGCAAGCAAAAGATTATTGCTAAAAACTAAGTTAGTATCACCCACCTTGCTTAAGTTAAATTAGAGATCAAATACAGTTATTGTTCTCTTTATCTTTTTTGAGTTGTGTGACCATAGCTATAGTCATTCTTTTGGGTCCATTGTCCAGAGATTATTTCATGTCATTTTTATTAAGTGTTATTACTATGGAATATGTTGGTTTGGGAGGAGATATGTTATATTGGGTTCCCTCATTCTTTTCATTTCTGCACTTTATTTCTGTTACTTAAGCATCTGCAGTTAATTTGTTGGTTGAAATTTTCTTTTCTTTTTGCTCACTTCATCTTTGTTGTTTCAGCAGAGTTCTTTACAGTGTTCAGGAGAAGCTAATTCATAGTGGGATTGAGTTGTTTGATTTCTTCAGTTTGGTTTTTGAGGGTGTAAGACCTGGGGTCTCACAGCTCAGGAGTTTAAGATCGTGCCCTTCCCAGAAACTCCCCCAGACCAAGACTCGTTGCAAAAGCAAGAGGTTTATTAACCATTGCGCATTGGGGTCACCCCTGCCGGTCAGCAAAGAGTGGCACCTGGAGACAAAGGCCTTTAGGTTTTTAAAAGAAACATTGCGGGAGATTTGAAGTTGCAGTCTTGGCAATTTAGGATTGGATGAGGAAGCTATAAAGTAAGATAATTGGTTAGTCTTAGGTGCTCAAGCTTGGCCAGTCTTGCCAAGTGTGGATGCAGCTGCAATTTAAGGTGGGGGTGGTTAGCTCATCCTTGAAGATTAGGGGCTGTGGACTTTTGGCTGCAGGTCAAAAGCTACTCAGAAGAAGTCTGGGTTCGTTGCTAAGAAATGCTATCTCAAAGACAAGGGTCTGGTCCTTTTTTTTTTTTTTTTTGCTGAGTGAAGGTCATTGCTTGCTTGCCTTTTTTTATATCTGTCCTCACAGATAGGGTCACATTCCTCCATTCTCTGGAAAGGTACTAAGAGGCTTTAGCTTAACCTGAACCTAAAACTCAAAGCTATAGGCTTTAGAAGACATACAGGTTACAAAGTTAGTCTAACTCTTCCAAGGGCTACAGACATCTTCTAATTGTCAACTACATTCTCCTAAGAGTTTGGGACAAGTTCCTTCTGGCAGGATGAACTCGTCCTGTGTCTCAAAGCTTTATAAGGCAACTAGAAGATCTCAGTAAGGCAGGTGACAGGGATTAGGGCCTCTGGGTCACGAGTTTTGGCTTGAGTCCCTAGAGACTGGGCTGGGATTTGACAAGTCTCAAAGGGAGAAGGAGGGGTTGGAAAGAGGTGGAAAAGCAGCCAAAGAACCTGAACTCATTGATCAGACTAGACTGGAAAACCAGTGAGTCCCCAAGCCTTCTGTATCTGCTCCTGAGTGCTTGGATTACAGATGCACCTCACAATGCTTAAGCCCAAATATAAGACCTCATGTTGTACAGCAAGCAATTTACACACTGAAACAAAATCTCTACTGCTCCTAACAGCCAACATTTATTCCTCTTATAACTTCACAAGACATAAATCAATGAACAACTGCCAAAATTCTGATGGGTGGACTTTAATCCTGAGGTTTAGAAGCAGCTTTGTTAGTTGCAGAATTTAAATAAGTCCTAATTACCCTGTAAGGAAGAAAAAGGTGTTAACATTGTTTTCAATAACAGCATTTTCACAGAAAAACACAAACACCTGTGAGGTTTATAACATCAAATTATATTAGATTTTAAATGGAGAAAATTAAATACATGTTAACACTTAGTAAGTATTTCTGCTCAACATCACTGCTCGGCAGGGATGGATATTCTCAAGCTTCCTTTTAAGTGCTGTCTCTTCTAATTACCAGAAAAGACAAGCCAGCAAGTAAAAGTCTATGGTGAGCTGCATTTTTTTTTCTCTGTGTACTTAGAACTTGTGATCACACAAAACCCCATTTCCTGGTTGGGGTGCAGTGTAAGAACACAGGCGAGAACCCACAGACACACTGCCAGACACTCAGACATTGGACGCTGAGCACAACAGAGCAGCCAGATACACTGATGCAGAGGGACCTATGTCACATGCCTCTCCGAAGCCTTGTCTGTGTGTTGGTGGCCTTGGCCTTCTCTGGTATAGATGTTTTACATATAGCTAAGGATACTAAGCAGGATGCTCTAGGCATATGGTGTTTTTTATAAGGCCGAGGGCACGGGGATTGGGGAAAACAAGCAGAAGTTATCTTTCGGTCTTAGGTTAATCGAATTCCTATAAGCTTTTATTCACAATATTACAGGCTCATCTCTGTTCTCTAATTGTTCCCACAGATTTCTCTACTGCCCAAAAAGTGACTCAAGTACAACCAGCTATAAACAAGCAGGAAGGGGAACAGGTCATCATGGACTGTTCCTATGAGACAAGTATGAGCTTTTACCAACTTTATTGGTACAAACAACGTCCTAGTGGAGACATGATATTCCTTATTCGTCAAGTTTCATCTTCTCATCACAATGAAAGCAGTGGCCGCTATTCTGTCATCTTCCAGAAGTCAGCCAAGTCCATCAGCCTCATCATTTCAGCCTCACAGGTGGGAGATTCAATAAACTATTTCTGTGCCCTCGTGGAACCAGCTCACAGTGTTTGAAGTGACAGCACAAGCTGGTTGAAAACTAGAGCTCCTTAAGCACAGCCCATCGCAGGGGCCCAGCTGATAAGCACACCTGCACATGACGAACAGGAAGGTCCCAACCAGCAGTATGCATAAGAAGTGTCTTTCTAAGTAAAACACACTCCTATGAAATTTGGAAACAGTCATTGTTTTCTTCTAATATTTCTTAAAACTCACTTCTTAAACAAAAAAACAGGTCATAAAATCTATGAAAAATATTTCTATAATCAAAAATCTTACACTATAATGACTTTAACTGTTGTTTTCTCTTAAAGATACATGATAACAGCATACACCTAGGTCTGTGTATCTGGGCTAAAAAATAGAACATAATTTCTTCATGAAAGTTAAACTCAGAGAGGCAGAGCCATCACAAATGAAGCAGTCAAAGACACTTGAAGTTGCAAATCTTTGTCTTTGTGTCTGGTGCTGAGTCTGAATCACCACAGTCAGCTAGACCAGCAGTAGGGAAGGATGGTTATATGAGGGTAGCACATGGATGCACCATGACTTGTGAAGATTCAGTGAGCCCATAAGACTACTTGGAACCTAGAAGAACAAACCTGTCTGTTTCATAGAAGTTTCCTCAAACTGTTAACCTTCAATAATGAGGTAGTCTTAATTAGGATAATAGACTATTTTAAGGCAGGGTGTTGGAGGGGAGGTAAAACAACTGGATGTCTTGAACAGAGGTGAAACATCCTATCCTGAGAAACATGTTTTGTGCTCAGAAAAGCGAGAAACTCAGAAGTTTGAGGAAGTCCCCAAAACTGACCAGACTCAGTAGGCTTCTCCCTCCATAGGCATGTGTAAGTAAATTAATAACAAGTGCTAAAAGACACTCTTAGATACGCTGAGCTGTCTACACAAAGCAGACACCAGCTGAGCGGTTTGGAAAGAGGTTTAGACCAATGGAACTATGTGGAAATGGCACTCTCTCACCTGATGAATTGGCTTCAGGTTCTATAGTGCACTTCAGGCTTCCAGCTTTTATGAGCTGCCACCCATACTTGGATAGGTTTTTATGATGCAGCTGCCATTGAGACATTTCTGCTCCTGCAAGTAAGCGCTCTGATATTCTTGTAGGTTAGCCCCCAAAACATTCCCTGGCTCATCAAGTTGGCCTTGGTGGTATCCATTCTGTACACTGTTGTTAGTTCCTTATCTGGAGTGATGCACATTTGTCCACATCTCACCAGAAATAATGTCACACAACGTTCCCTCCTAAATCTCACTTCTTAGAAGAACTTCAGAAGAAACAGTGTCATTTCCCAACATATTACATTGATACTTAACACAAGACCAAAAAAAAAAAAAAGGAAATTAGGAAGAAGGAAAGAAGGAATCAGCAAGAAGTGGAGTTGGCAGATCATCAACAGATATGAGCCATCCCAATGTCTAGGGCCTGAATGTGTACAGCAATATAAAAAGTAAGTATTCTACCACATCAGTTCTCCAAACCATACAGTTTCTTTTTTAATGACTGACTTTGAAACAGAGTGACACTGGGAAAGAAATTCAGCTTCCTTTTTCCAGATCAAGCTACTACAGGAATTATAGATAAAATATAATATTAAAAACTGTGTTTATGTGATCAGATGAAAAAGAGTTAAGGCAAAAGCCCAATAGATCTCACTCAGAAATGAGCTAAAGAAAATGGAAGTTAGCTAAGTTGTGAATTAAAAATGTCTAATCAGCCCAGCAAAAACATACTGCTCTTGCCACCATCACCAGCTCTAGCTACTAGCAAAGTTTCCACAGGTGGGAACTCTGACAGGGAGAAATTTACGATATGGTCATGCAGCCACATGCTGTGTTGGCATGCAGGCAGAGTCAGCAGTAGCTGTGCAGGTGATAGACAGGGGAGCATGACCGTGGCACAGAATATTGAAGCTGAGGTTGATGGATGTTTGCCAGTGTTTCTGCTACTTTGCTGTTGCTATAATGAAATATCATATCTAAGAAAGTTATAGTAGAAAGAATTTACCTTCGCTTGTGGTTCCAGAGGATAAGAGTCCAAAATGGCGTGGCAGCAAGCAGCAGGGATGGTAGTTGGAGCAGGACTCTTAAGAGCACACACCTTCAAACTGCAAGCAAGAAGCAGAGAGAGAGCTGGATGTCGTGAGAAACTATAAACACTCAAGCCTGCCCTCAGTGACATACTCCTTTCATCAAGTCCAACTAGGAACTACATGCTTAAATATCTGGGCCCTGGAGAACATCCTCATCGAAATCCCTATATTCATACATATATAGGTACATAGAATATTCCATGATCATACATCCCTCCTTACCATTGCCTGAGAGAGCTATACCACAACACAAGAAATGTTCGGTGGAAACTGTCACATCCTGATGGCCATCAAAAACTGGAAAGTTGTCACTGACAGGTTAATGGGTTGG